AAAAATGAGCTGCCTTCTCCCCAACACGCATGCTAAGGAACTGTCCAGTTTTCCCACTATTCTCAACTCTGTACTTATCTTTTTGGATTTGGCTTTGAATTAGGCCTGGATATACAGTATGCACATGGCTAAGATGCTGGGTGCTGCTACCGTATATTTTTGTCTGTGGTGTTTTGTGCATGCAACACTGCTGTCAGGGCTGCTTATTTCAATGTGGCCATCTTCTATATAGCACATAATTATAGCTGAAATAAATGTAATATAATTGCCTGTCAGTCTAATTTCTTGAGCTTTTGACATGTCGAATGGCTGTAGGAAGTGAGAAATGAATGTGTGAGATGCAGATCTGATTAAATTGTCAATGGTTCTCAAGTGCATTTCTTTTTGACGGTGTTTTGTGATTTTCCATTTTTCTAATGGACAAACAGCCTTGCTTAATCTTGCTCTGTATTTCATGTGGCATAATATGTAAAATAGGCAGATTTTTTTTTCCAATAGGAATAAGAGAATATGAGATGAAAGTCTACCGTTTGCATCTCAGATCATTCAGAGCAGTAGGGGGCGGACATCTGTTTAGCAAGAATATTGACGAAAGGAAACATAGCTAAATGAAAACTGAATCAATCAGAGAGCTGAAAACTAGTGTTTGGGCTCATCATTAAAGGGAGCTTATAGTGAGTGAAGTCTCAGAAGGAATTAGAAAAAACAATAAACGTCTGAAATGAAGAAGGGGAAGATTTGTGGATTTTTGCTAAAGGCAGTTTCCATCAAGGGACTATTATATGAACAGTGTGGGTTAAAAAAGTAGCCATTAGCCTGTCTAAAAAGAACTTAATAAATGAATGAAAAGAAACTTGAGCAAAAAGTGGCTCGGGTAAATTTAAAGATTTCTAACTGAAACATCAACCTTCCTTTTACTGTGACCTGCTTCATAGTTAAGTTACCAGGTACAGGATGAGAGCACTGAGCAGAGCCCAAGACAAAGCCTTTCAGACTTCCTTATTATCCTTCCTATAATTGTTCTTAAAAATTCAATCTCCTCTTCATTAATTTGGACTTACGTTATCCCCTGTTTAAAAAGCTGAAGAAGCAATAGACAGTACAGTATATACTGCACCTGTGGGCTATTATAGTCCCTTCCATTGATATATGAGTCTTGCTCACGATATACTAGATGATTGAAATATTTGAATATTACCCAAGATTTCCCACAGTCCTTCCTATAAAAATGCGCAAAGAGAGGGAATTAGATAAGAATCCACAAAAGAGGGTAATACTTCATTAAATTTATTGGAATTATAGGTTTGATTTCACAGTCTGTCTCTCTCACCTGTATAACTCAGTGCAAGCTTCTGAGAATAAAAAGATGATTTTTTTTATTAATGGGTATCTATCTTTAGAATGAATCTTTTTTATTACATTTTTGTCAGAAGATATTCAACTAGAGTGTGAAGAATTCATCTTTTAGTATTTTGTTTTATTACGGTACAATATGCTCTTCTTTGTAGTTCCAGTAGGAAAGATTTTATCGACAAATTCAGCTTGTCTTTTTGTCCATGGGTATTTCTGCCACCCCTTTCAGACACAGAAACGAAATAGTAAGAAGAATATCTCCCTGGTTTCTGGCTAACATTTTACATTTTTTCAGATTTATGCTGAAAAGAAAATTGTTCCTTCTGATATGTCTATAGTATACCCCTTTCTTCTGAAAAAATCGTTATATTTATAAAGATATTTAAATATGATGCATAATAAATAAAGTATTTCTTAGAACCATAAAAAGCAGTCTTTAAAACCCACAGTACGCTTTTGTAAAACCTTTATTTATTATCAGTAAGTTAAAGTAATTTTTTTTTTCTGTGTAGGATTTAAATTTGAGTCATATGTCAAGTGATAAATCACTGGCCTTGTAAAGAAGCGTGATGATGAATTCTGGTCTTAATTCTTACAATCACAGAGAATCCTAAATTCACTTCACTTGTTTGAACTGTCCTTTTTCATGATAAGCAATGGGATATGGCTTAACATAGTTATTATACTGTGTTTTTTTTTCAAGAATAAGTTATCTTTCTTCACTTCATGTTCATTCTCCATTGGAGTAATGTAAGGCCACAGTAGACTTACTGTACCTTAACATTCAACCCTTAAAATAATTTTTGCAAACTGTAAATATACAGTAATATTTGGAATATTTACCTTAATTCAAGACCTTTTATACTGTATATATAAATTACTTTCATCCTTTATTTAACTGGTTAAGTCAGTTAAGAACAATTTTAAGACCTCTTAAATACATCAGGATATTTGGTAGAGCAATTTGAGTGAAATAAATCAAGTGTGCTACAGTACATCAATGTCTCTATATAGGATCTGAACCAGTGACCCTTCAGTCTGGAGGTCTGAACCCTAACCACTTCTCCTCGACACAAATGAGGTATCCTAACTTGTAGACCACTTAATGGCATGGACCTAGTTCACTGTGTATACTCACGCAAATATTGATCTCAAATGTTGTCCTACATCCTTTCCCTTTCCTGGCCTTATAGTTCATTCAATTAGGTATTCATTATGCTACTTCAAGACACCAATGTCACTTAATATTCTGAGTATTTTGCTGATATATTTTAATCACAATACATAATCTGATTTAGTATTTTGGCTCAGGTACAGTAATCATATTCATACGGCTGTTGACAAGTTTGCAGCAATTCAGGAAATTCGTGACCAGCATCATATAATTATTTTATTACATCTCAGATGTAATTGATTTCACACAGTATTTTTCTTTTTTCAGCAATAATTACAGAGTCATACCATGTTCTTGCTTATCCTAGCTCTAGCGAAGCTTGCCCCAATTGGCCTCAATTTCCTTCTCTCATGTATGCAGCATAAATAATCCAAACAAGTTTCCAGTGTAATAAATTGGGGAAATACTCAATTATGTATTAAAATCTAAAATAGAGCATTCATATTTTTAAGCAAAACCAATTTATATGTGTATACTGTATATAGAAGGGTGGTGAGTAAAGTTCAGACCACAACACAAGTGATGAAAAATAACTGATACCAGTGCTTTTAAAATACAGAACACTCAGAAGTTTCCTTTTGTTCATTATTCTCCTGCACCAGAAATATGGTGTGAAGTCAGTAGCAAATTTTTTATCTTTATTAAAATAAGATTATGTTGTCCTTGAATTTAGATTCCTTGTGTGCAGTACACAAAAACACAAAGAAAAAAAAAAAGAATTGTCCATTTGAATGTTGTCAAGATAGATTTTACTTTGGAGCAATGGGAGCGGTGTCTCATTTTCTGAAATTGGAGATTAATAACTTTCCAAGCACCCTTGAGTGTATTTACAATAATACATATAAAATCTAATACATAAATATGATAGAGGGAATTTAAAGAGAAATAAAAAATAAAATAAAAAAGATTGTTGAAAGAACCAAAGCTGTGTATTTTAAAATATACAAACAACATTTAATGTACATACAGTATATTTATACAAGCATTGTATTTTATATTGTATGTAAATTTAAAGATTATTTCTGTATATTAAAAATTCTAGTGAATAGGTATTTTGAAACTCCAGAAATAAAACACTGAACCCAGCACAAATGCTGTCATTCCAATGGCTGTAAGTAAAGTACAGTAAGACAGTTTGAAGCAGTTTTAATTTTTATTATATTTGTACACGGATTAATCAAAATTGAAGTACAGTAATTTGTTTGATTTTTATTATGAGTTCATATTCCCATAATAAAGATTCTCCCAAACTGTTAATTAAATGAATGCCTATTTTGGCTGATTGTTAGAGATTGCAACAACAAAACTGGTTTAATTAGTAAAAAATAAATGTGTTGTTTCTTTTCCCTTAATTGTTTTTTTTTCTCGTCTTAAATTTAATTGAACTTTCAATGTGCTTTATTGATTTCCTTTGGAGTAGTTTAATTCTGATTATTTTTTACCATTCCATGGTATTTGTTTTGTCAATGACATCTGACATTATATTTTAGCAGTGTATAATTTATAAAATGATTTGTAAATGGAATAAAATATTCAGGTAAGCCTAAATATTACAAGTTAATTTTACCCTTTTCTTCAAATGAATATATCACATTACTTGTGACTGAGGCATAATACTTTCTTTACTAATCTTGTCATCGAGCTTTATTTTAAAACCATAAAAAGGCATTTCCTTTGGTAATTTAGTTCTTGGTTGTAGAATGTAGACAAACCAGGATAAGTGTTTTGATTTGTAATCTCTCTTGAACATTATTCTTTCCAAGTACGTATCCCTCCACCTCCTTATTTTCATTAGTGTCTCCTACAACTGTCTTTCACAGACTCTGAAAGCTTTAATCCGTTTATTTGCAGCCAAACACTGGTTTTAAATCTAAATTTTACTGTATTGTTGTGGGGTGTAAAGTTTTGAAAGATCTGGCTGTGAAATGTTAGGTTAGTTTTAAAAGCAGGTAGATAAGGTAATTGATGTAACTCTGTTTTTCAATATAATCTACTCTATTCAGTATTTCAGGAGAGAACATTTAAGATCAACAATTAACTGCTGTTCCATAGATTAACAGATAGGACTGCAGCACTTTCTCCCATAGTCTTTAACAATAACCCTTCTCATGTACAACTCATGATTATTTAATTCCTTTAAGGGGGGTTTGAGACAATCATGAAGTGATAACTGAACTTTTGTTCTTATATGTCAAATCAGATGTTGCCAAAAGTTGTTCCTGTTCTGTAGATCAGGAGGGAACTTGCATTATTAATGCGGTGAGGATGAATAAAAGACAAAACTAACAAGTTTTTTTTTTCCAGAATGTCCCTAACTGAATAAAGAACTGAACACATGACATATTTACCTCCGTTGGGTCAGAGAGAAGATCCCAGTGTAAAACAATTGTTATAAGAGATACAACGAAAGTCATGGAGTGTTTTACAGAAAAACGCGTTCATGCCATTTTTCCCTCCTCCTGTGGTGTTGCAGGGAGTTTTACTCTGGCTGAACTGGGAATATGCGAGCCCACCCCTCACCAGAGCGGCTACTGTTCAGACATCGGACTGCTGCATCGCGGCTATTCGTTGAGCGTGGGCTCCGATGCCGATTCAGACACCGAGGGGGCCATGTCTCCAGAGCACGCCATCCGTCTGTGGGGCAGGGGGATTAAATCCCGTCGTAGCTCCGGACTTTCCAGTCGGGAGAACTCGGCCCTGACCTTGACCGACTCTGAAAATGAGAACAAGTCCGACGACGAATCAGGTACGTCGATTCCACAGCACCACGCCCACAAAGACGTATCCCAGCTCTGGTCCCCCATTTACCCAGCAGTAGCCACAGGCAAATTCTCATCAGGTTTGCAGGACAGTATTAAGCACACCTTCCGAAGAGCTAATGTACAGTAGCAACAAAGGTTCATGCTTGTTCAGGCTAAGTAAGTGGATTTTGTTTTGGATCTACTTGTTTTAGTGTGGGAAAAAATCAATGCGTCTCTCATTTAGGCCCTTATTCTGATGGCTTCAGTGCCCCCCAGCTTTGAAAATTATTCACTATGATGAAGAAAAAAATGTTTCAATAACACCTTTCATTAAAAAATACATAACATATTTTCTGCTGTCGATAATTTGTCTACAGGGATATACTTGCAAAAGGGTGCGCTGTTGGTTAGACATATTGATGAAGTTGAGAATCGAAATACGTCTGTACACATTAAATTTTATAATCTCATAAATATTCAACATAATATATAAGGCTGAAATGTGCCGAGTAGAATGACTCTTCAACAACAGATTAAAACATACTTATAAAATTTGAAATAATAATTATCAAAAAACATGCAAATAAAATGTTACATAACAAATATAAAGGGTTATGTCTTTACTTTTATTGTACTGCCAGTTTACTAATGTATTTTAATGAAAAGAAAGAATCATTAAGATTTTTCAGATAATGAGCATTATTATTTAGGTTACAACAATCATCATTTTGCTCTATGCAGTTTTTTTCATGGTTATGTGCTTAGGAATGTATTTTAAACCTTGATTTGTAGAAAATTATTAAACTCCTGATTATTTTAGCTTTCATATTCATTTTAGCTTTCATATTGACTTAACCCTGTTGCCATTTTGAAAGAAAAAAAGTTTTAATTCATTGAAATCAGAAATCTTAACAACGTTAAATCCTTTAACCAAGTGATTGTGAAGCTGTGAACAGCGGCATCAGGGGTACTGTATTTGACAGTTACAATTTATCCAAGTATTCAACAGATCAACACATGAGAAAACACCTCCTAAAAAGGCTTTTTTTTTCAAACTGTAAACTGATAATTGCATTTTTAGCTAATTGCTCTACAAATCATTCAAACTCGACCTCTTTTTGTACTTTGCAATACATAACATATTAAAGTGTGTGAAGGTTTTGCAACATTTTGTCATCTAATGTAACACAAGAAAGAATACAATCCCTGGATGGAGGTATTGCCCCATAACTGCAATATTTAGGAATAATAATATATATGCTTAAAATATTAAGTATAGAGGCATTGTTAGTAATGAATATTATGTATTGCTTAAGACTACTTTGAAGCTATTGGAGATTGTGTGTAACAAATGCCTTTAACAAATAGGAAATATTGCCATATAATATTATATATTATTATATTATTAAATATATTATATAACGTATATTATGTTATAATCACATATTATTATTATTGTGGTTGTTGTTATATCATAATATTATTTGTTTTCATTGTTAAATGATCAATGATTCATTACACTATACTGTATACTGTACTGTATATATAGCTTAAAAGACAAAAATAAAATGACTAATAAAACACTTTAATTTTTAGGAAATATATTCATACATTAGATGGTATAAATGGTGTTGACATTTGCTTTGATGTAAAATATATTCTACTAAATTTGGAATACTTTATATGCATCCACAACTCTTGCCATATTTAAGTTGGATCAACGGGCAAACACCTTGCTAACAGAATTTGGATACTTAGCTGCAAACTTTGTTGGTAGGAATTGTAGTTCTTGTTGATGTAAAGGCGGTTAGATACATTAAATATGAAATTAAATCGATTTTTGCTTATAAATTGCTATTCCATGCTTCTCAATTCACTGTACAAATGTTACAATACAAGGATGTTGCTGTACCAAAATAGAATAAATAAAAACACCGTGCGTACTAAGGCACAGAAAAATAAAGAAAAAAGAGAGAACAGTTTTTGGCTGAGGAGGGAAGAAAATTCCAGAGCTTGGGTGGGTAAAAAACAGCTCAGTCTCCCATGGTTTGCAACCTGGTGTTGTTTATAGGTTATTATTAGGTGCAGTAGGAGTAACATTGAATCATCAGAATCACTCATCTATTTTTGTTTCTAATACTTGTTGAACTTCTGTGGTGTTATGGTAATTAGGGATGCAATTATCATTTAATGAATTCTTTGATTAAAATCTTTCTATTTTACTGCAGGAGTTTGCAAATATATACAATACGATTTGTTTGACAAGAAATACTTGCTGGTTGATTATTTACAGTATGTATATTAATTACAAATATGATACACAGTATAGTATATTAAACCATTATTTTCAGAGCAATCTGCATACATTCATGTACAGTATATAAAGTGTAAAAGAAAATGACAGTTGTTACAGACTGCTGGACAGCTCTCTGCCAGTCCAGCATACTGTACATTTAAATATTCATTCTTCTCATGTGTCTAGATACATGATGTACATGATTGACATAGATCACTCAGCAGTTTGCTGGTGGACAGTTGCTGGAAAAAACAAAAGAGAATATGAAAATTCAATTTATGTAGCAGAATCCCATTTATTCTTGAGCCGATAAAACTCAAAAGAGAGGCAGACATCAATAATGTTTTGAAAGGATCTAAATGGTACTTTCTGGAAAACAGTTTATATGCGAAAATGAATAATTAACCACAAAAAGTTTGCTTTTTATTCAGGATAAAAAAGATTAAGGAGATTAGGATTAGGATTTCTAAAAGACCAACATAAAATATGAAATAATATGAACAATTTCACTCTCTAGTACTCAATTATTAGATTGTTACATAGATGTAGGTGAATGTTTATGATATACATTACCATGTGTGTATTAAATCATGATACTCATAAATTAAAAGCAACACTGTACAAAATGAAGAACTATGATACATGTATAAATCATAAATTAGGAAAGATTCATAGGGGGATTTTACATTCTGTAGGTTCTAATATTATGTGTACACATAATACACATTTTATATACACAGGAATATATTTTTTAATATAAAACATTTTTGTATATACAGAATTTTCATCTTTAAAAGCAGGATTTTAGTTTCCTTTAATATGATGATAAAACTTCTTCAATGCTAAGTAAATCCTTCTCTTTAATACTTGTGAATCTTTGAAGTGCATTAAAACCATTGGACCCTGTATTGTCTAAATGATTATTTTACTCATGGGTGTCTGGTTAAAATGACTCTGAGACAGCAGTAATATTAAAACTAGTCTATGTTCTGTAACGAAATAGCTGATAAAACTGAAACTACAAAATTAATTGCAGAGTCTTGGTTGGTGTTCATATTTCTACTGTTACTGTACAGCTATGGTTAAAAATAATTTTAAGATTTCATCATTTGAATTTATTGTATTTGAGATTATCCTGCTAAAGAGACATTACATAATTAGTCTTCATTTTGTCTTAATTTTGATTTGGCAAATTTGACAATATTTACATATTGAGATATAGTATCTAAAAGCATACCTATGTCCATACAGTGTATATACTGTACAGTGTATTTGCAACGATTCTCAGATTTAATTATATTTGAACTGCCCTGCTAGCACAGAAAATCCTGTACTGAAGGTACTGAATAAAAACAGTAATATACTCAAAATTGATTGAAATGATTTTTGAAGGTTGAGATCTCTGTCTTACTTTTTTAATTTTCATTTTAGTAGTGTAGTTTCACAATTTTCTAGTCCAGCACCTAAAGTAGATATGTGGATGGTGGCATTAGACATTAAGTAAACATTTGCACTATGCATACAAAATTACACAATATATAAGTTACAGACACACACACACTCTGAAAATCTCCTGTTTTATTTATGTGCTGTCTAAAATATCTCATTTTTAAACTTCTTTGGCTGGAATACAGGTTGTTGACAGTTGGTGTCCCTTTCTATCATTGCTCTGAAAGGAAGGTTGTTTTTTTTCTGACTTCTTTCTGACATGTCCATTGTTGTTTCAAGAGATTATGTGACATTGTTAAGAATCTCTCCAGGTATTTTTATGTTCCCATTTTCAGAGCTGATTGACTCTGAGTTCTGGTGCCATGGGATGTGCCATTATTCATGAAGTATTTTTTAAGAAATTGGCTATTATGAACAAACACTTCTTTGAGACGCGTTCAAAATAGCAATGCTTGTGCATGTACTGTACGTATTTTGCTTGATTTGCTTTGAGTGGTGTTGCTCTTTCTGTAGTCGGTAGAAAGTAAGTGTGAAGAGTACACTTGGGTGAGTGCGATTAAGCATCTGTATACAAGCAAGTCTTTCAGAGTTTTATCGAAACCTGCCACAGTGCAGCATCACATTTTGATTTAAGGAGGTAAATCGGTATAATCAAGAGCAAAGATTTCAAACACATCATTTAATGGCAGAAAGACTTTTTCTGATTGTGCAGGCTTTGCTTTTATGACATACTGGGGTCATCTAATAAACTGCATAATAGGATTTAGGAGCTTGCAGATTCCTCCACAGATGTATTTCAGAACATGCAAACAGCTGTCAATATTTCATGAGCCTTGTGAGGTTTTGCAAGGTCACTTCAGATTGCATGTACTGTTTGTGAGTCAGGGCTTTCTTCTCTTGGCATTTTCTAAAATTCTACTCCTAAAAATGAATATTGGAGTACGAGTGTCAGCACGTGTCTCTGGATTTTCAGGAACAGTATTCTGCTGTTTTTTTGTACTATTTGCGAATGTGTTGAATATATTTAAATGTTTCTTATAAAGTCTCTTATCTTACTAGACTAAGATAGAGCTGGACAAAGCTTTACTGTATATATACAGTATATACAGTATTTTATATAGAGTAATTTGCCAAGGGCTAATGTACAGTTTTCCTTTATTTCCCTCTTACATTCTCCACATTCCGAAAAAAAAAAAAAACAACAACATTTTTTTTAATATTAGGGCCCTCCTTGGATTAGCATCAGAAGCTATAGAAATG